TTAGTTTAAGCAGAGGAAAGATCAGTTGTCAGGGTCTGAATGCAAAATTTATTAAGTGGATAGATAATCCCAATCATTTTTTTCAGATATGTAGTGATTAAATAATAAATTGTTTTAACTTTTTAAAGTTATATATATATACTTGCAACTGCTATGATATTTTGAGGATTAAACCAAAATACCTGTAGAGTTTATCTTTGGCAATAAAATTGCATTTATCTTCAGAACATAAGGTATTTTTCAATTGATTCATCACTTCTTTCCAGTAATTGATAAAAGGCAGAAAATTGCAACAACTAAAGCTTTTAAGTTTTCTTTCATAGATTGTTGGGATTTTATCCTCATCAATGAAGAATTTGAAGTATTTATAAGACTTCTAATATCTTCTGAAATCCAGAAAAAGCTCCACTACATTTTTTATCATTATAATCTACTACATTTTCAAGGTCTCATCAGATTACATTAAAAAGCAGCTGATTTTATGCTTTATGTCCAAAACAATGAGGTTCTAGCTTTCTGGACAGATGGATTCCCACTTTTTCAATACAAATTCTGTAAGGTTTTATCCTCCAAATTATGTAATGTAATTGGTCTAAGGCTTTGAAGTAGTTCTTTGAAATGTGGATTCTTCCTTTTTTCTACTATGCAGCTTTATGAAGAAAGTGTCAAATTTGATGGATGTGATCATGTGAGTCAATTGAAAAAGCCCAAAACAACTTTGGCTTGTGGATTACATTTTTCAAAAGAATGACTTTAGAATATCTTTTTTTTTTATCTTAGAGACTCTATATATTTCTGTTGGAATAATTTCCTTGTAAATTTGTATTAATCTTTATCAAAAGCACACCTAGTTTTTCTTTTCTTCTGCAATCATTTCCTGAGTAGGAGTTTTTCTTTAGTTTAACTGTACTCCTATTGTTACCTTATCATCAGATGTTGTTTTTGTAAAGTAATTTTAAAGATGATATTTTCGGTTCTATTCTCTTTCTCCGTTTTCTATCCTAGCACACTGAAAACTTTTCTGCCCAACCAAACAGGGATTCTAAAGTAAAATTTTGATGATTAGTCATATTTTCAGAAATGGTTTGAGTCAAAAACTTTTCAGCACCCCATCATATTGGTTATTTTGAAGCTACCTTTTTTGTTTTATTTTAGTATTCAGAGAGCTGAGTTCCAATTCTGGTTGGGTTCATTACATTTACTTACACACAAATAGCCTTAGGAAAGGTATGAATCCATCTCTTCTTCCCCCAGATATAGGTTTTATAGCAGCACAGACCACATCCTATAGCAGAAAGAAACAACAACCTACTGTGGGAAAATCTTAGTCAGTCATGTCAAGAGACTGCCCAAGTATGTATCACATATGGCACTTAACTGACTAACCAAAATGATCAAAGAATATTGAATATTGAAGGCACAAAATCTTAGCCCCACCCCAGTTAATAGATCACTTCAAGGAATGCACCGGAATGAATATTTCTTTGTCTAGAATCTTTTATCAGCTATCATTTCCTCTTGAATATGAATGTTGTTTTTTTTTTCATGCTTCATATCTTGGGTTGACAAACAAAGGAATCTTGTGTGTTGCCCTGTTGTTTCAGAAGTTAGTTCCCTTCACTCTATTTAGTTGATTCTTTACATTGTTGCTGACTAAGGCATTCAATTTCAGTGTGATGGATTTTCATCTTTATTTACATATTGTGTGTGTGTGTGTGTGTGTGTGTGTGTGTGTGTGTGTGTACTTAACTCAATTATTTTCTGGCCTAATGACAAAAAATAAATAAATAAGCACTTATTTTAAGCAACAATATAACACAATATTTCTCATTAATCATGTATACAGAAAATTTCAGATCAAAATCCAGCTAATGACTATGCCAGACTTATTAATCCTTTCTTGTAAAAACATATTTAGAATGAATTAACCAACAAAATACCTAAACTTATAACTAATTTAACAAATTGACTATGTGTCAGCACTTATATGCATGTATATATATATAGATATAATAAAAATAATACCTGGCCACTCACATTCGAGGATACCCGTCTACTAGGATGGTTAGCCAGTACCTATTGCAGACACTCGCTTAGGCACATTTGTGTATGTTCAACATCCACAGAGCCTCCCTGTAGTTTATACTGCAACTATGCTGAGCAGACCTTAGTTACAGTTTTTGGGAGAGAGTGCATTATATAGTGTGATCAACAATCTGAATAAGGCCAGCACACTCAAACCCTCAGTCATGATGACTTGTGACTTTGTGCTAGCACAGCTATTGATGGCCCTGCTTTGTTCCATCTACACAATTTCACTCACAAAGCATAGTTTTCAAGCACTTTCCAAAGTTGGTGTACACTGGATTTGTCCCCCTCCAGACCGATTTACATACATACATACATATCCTCATATACATATAGAAGAAACTATCATCAATTTCCACCATCAGCAATCATTGATTTCTACCAGACAAATCAAAATTTCTTCCATGGTACTTGAATCATAGGATACTTAGTAAAGGAAGGGAGATAAATTCCTATCAAAGCATCTGATTAGGTGTATCAAAAACATTAACCATCTTTTACAGGAGAATCATCAAAACTTTAGCTAAGTCTGTTATCTCTGTCAAAAGTTGCAAAAACCCAGTTGTAAATCTAGTCTGATGTATAAACAAAGCACAAGTTAAAAAAATCATGCAGATATTGGGCAAAGTTTAGAGTTGGATATTTAAGGGAACAGTTCAATATGACTGAAAATTCTTTAGATAGTAGAAAACACAGATGAATAAATCAACAATCTACTTGTAAAAAAACACAAAATGATAGTCCAGAAAAGTTAGTATCATGGCTGGGAGAAAGATCATTATGAAAGCTGTTTATCTAAGGCAAAGAATAAAAGGGCCTTATGACAATTATTGGTCAACAGGTGTGCACATGAAAAGAACATGAATTAAAAACCTTGGTAGCAGACACATTGTAGGTTGTAGATGTTATTCACATTACCAAACCTTTCAGCGTGCTCCACCATGGGGTAATGGTTAGCAAAGTTAGTATGGTTGATTTGTTACTATCAAGTTGCGAGTTGATCCTCACTTGGTGCCCTATTCAACATTAAATATCTGAACAAGGGTTAAAATATCATAAATTCAGACAACTATAACAAACCTTTCCAGATTTTTCTGATAAATTACTATATAACAAATTACTGATATAGAACAAAATACATGTGTGTGCTTAAAAGATCTCAGCTCGGCCCACTTTCTAAATTCTAATCAAACCTCAGAATTCATTTTTGGAATCTTTTTCTTGATTGTGTTAAGAACTTATCAACACCTGCTGATATATTGCAGCATAACTAGTTTGGAAGAATATCATGTTCTTCAGTTAAATCAATGTTTTTAAAAAAGCCAAATAGTATTTAATTTTTGCTTAAAATAATGTGCTAATGAGATTAGAAATTAGTTTTGTTGTAGTTATGCTATTAAACTGTTGGTTTTCTCTTGATCTCAGTTTCCAAACAGAAAAGAAAGGAGAATGTCATGAAAATTCAAACCAACACTAATAAATACTTTATGTATTAGATAAGCTTGTGATAACATATATCTAAAATTGTATTTTTATAAGTTCAAGTTTATGTGTATGATATTTACTAATATGTAGGTGTGTTTATAAAATATAATGAATTTGTAAATACAAGAGTTGTTCTAAAAGTAATGTTTCCTATTTTATTATGTTGATGGTTTGGCAATACAAGTTGAACTTTCCTACCAATAACTTTGCTTAAAGATAACAGCTGAGTGGTAATCTGGCAAAATTGTTTCTGACATGAAAGTGAGTAAAAACAAAAGTATGCCATTGAATTTCTCCATGCAGAAAAAATGCACCTGTTAATATTAAGTAAGACTTAAAGAGACCAAACAGTGGATGTGAACATAGTTAAGCAATGAGTAATGCATTTTATCAGTGTGAGAAAGCCAGTTGTTTCTCTTAGTAAAATGCATAGACATAGTATTTTGTAGCTGAAAACCTGCTTTATTTTTATAGATATTTAATGTTGAATAGGGCACCTGTTATTGTGCTTTCCTGTATCAGTTTTATTTTCCATAGTAATAAATAGAAGGTATTATGTTTGGGGTGTCCATCCTATTAGTGTGCTTATTTCTGTCTGTCCCACTGATCATTGAGTGATGTTCCTACCCATCCACCTCTGAACAGAGTGAACTTACTTGCAGCTCTTAATAGGTGTCTACTAATGAGGATTGTTGAAAAAGTCACATTAACCAGGAAATGTTTGTCCATTTCCCCTTTAAATAAATTCTATTCATGATAGTCTAAAAATAATCTGACACATATCTACCCTTTATAGATTGAGACAAGCCTCCAAATACAGAAAATATTATTTTTAACTTTAAACAAAGGGTAAGGATTAATTTATCTTTTGATGCTGGGAATTATTTGATTGAGTTACTTAGTTTATGTTATTTTCTAAATATAATATTGTACATGTCTTCTGCCATTATTTCTTAAAAAATAAAAAAAATGCAATCCTCCATTTACTGAGCTTTTTACTCTTGCCAATCCCTCTTAAATCAGTTGAAACTGTTCCAATCAATGCATTGGGCTTTACTGAATTTTTTTTTTCCTCCTCCAGATCTTGGTCTATTTGACTATTTCTTGTTTCCAAACCTTAAAAAGAGAATTTCAAATGATTTTGAGGTGATAGCAGCAGCAGTAGCAGAACAGTATTTCAATGAAATTTTCAGGGCTAGTTATGTTCAATTGCAGAGTGAATATGTGCAATAGAATATATATCTTGTAGCTTTTTAGTTGTGCTGACAACTTTTCAGCACCTCCTTGTCAAAAGAGTTTTACTACAGAGTGTACAAGTGGTTAGTTTTAAGTTCTGACTGGATTTTTCCTGAAAAAGATCATAAACTTTTAACATTTTACTGGTGTTTTTATGATTTTCAAGCCAGTTTAATAGACACCTAAGGCTTACAACCATGCCACATTGAAACACCAGTTCTCATTCGATCACCAAAGTTAAATAACATTGAGCCTGATCAATACCTGGATGTGTGACTGTTTGAGAATACCATGTACTGCAAATTTGGATGTGCAGGAGGTATAATGAATAATGGCTTAGAAATAGAAATTGAAGAGCTGAGTTTCAATTCCATTCAGGTTTGTTAGATTCACTTATGTACAAATACCCTTGGGAAAAGTATAAACCCACTTCTTCTCCCCAGTTATGGGTTAATTAGTATGAGTAACAGTGAATTATTATCTCTAAAAAAATTGTTACAATCCCAAAATATTTTCTGCCTTTAAATAACCTGCAGAATGTTGATAAGCTGTAAAAAGCAAATCAATCAATCAATAAATAGCATTTGCTTATAACAGCAGTTTTATATTTTGTTTCTTTTCTAAAATTACTTGATAAATCAAGAATGATACCAAGTTAGTAAATAAATAAGTAAATAAAGTAAGTGATATGTCCTGGAAAGGGATATATTTATTTGAAGTAGCAAAGTGGTTTTGGACTACTGTAACCAAGTAGGACAATCTAGCAGGTAACCGTAATGGACTGGTCCTCATCGTAGTGGTAGGCAATAGGTGAAGACAATAGGCGTAGCCAATAGGCGTCCCCCTGTACCTTCACATCAGTCTGTATTTATGGCTGACACCAGCCAATCATATTACAGTAAGTAAATAAGTTAAATTTGGGCTTTAATTCATTTTTTGATTTAGGCCATCAACTTTAAAAAACTAATGAAGCTAGAATCATAGAAATGAGTAATGTCCCTTTGACAATTTGTCTATGGTAAATGGTAAATTCAAGAGATGTGGGTCAAAGTGACACTGATCAAATTATCTATCCTACATAAGAAGGATGTAAACAACAATATGATTATACAACCCCAAAGGGGGAATAGATTAATACAATTATTTTGATATAGTAGAAATATTTGGTCATTTTCTGATATAAATGATTTATAGAATAATACAGAATAGCATGACAGTTATGTTATACCTTATTCATATGAATAATAAAAGAAAGAAAAAAAATCTTTTATAAAGGCATTGCCAATTTGTATGAATTTATTTTGAAACATTTATTTAAATATTTGTTTTATAATAACTTTCTGATACAAACATATCCTCTATTGTTTCCATTAGAATCATGTAAAGCAGATTTTACTCATTTTTTGTCCTATTTGAATCAATTTAATTATGTTCTACTTACTATAACTATTTCATTGTAACCAATTAAGTCCTTAACATCAGATATTACACACTGTCTTGTCAATTTTAAAGAGATGAAACAAAATGCAAACTAAAAATTATGTTTGTTTTTAAAAGTTTTTATCATTTTATTTCTAAATTTACTTTTGTAACAATATTTAGCCAAAACCTTTCTTTTGTGATGAGTATGGCATAGTATATAATTGTTATACCAATGTTTTCATCATTAATCAAGTATTTATATTGGAAATTTGCACTTTAGATGGCCAGTGTTAATTTAATGATGTAATGCTTATAAATGAATCTTGGTGAACCTGTATTAAAAACAAAATTGAATTTCTACACTTAAAAACATTTTTGACAAACTTATTAGAGTGATTAACTTAAAAAAACGAATTATCTATGTATAACAATAACTGCTTTGCTTAATTATAGTTAATTTCCTCAGTGATAAATAAAGCTAAAATAATTGTCTATAACTTTGAAAGAAGTAATTAACTTATTATTCAGATTTCATCATATTTAATATTTGGCATTAATGATCCAATTAGGTTGACATAACATTAAGCAATCCAATCTAATGTTTGTATCATTGTTGTTGTTGTTAATACAAAGTTTCATACAATCCTTTCAGACAAGAACTGAAGAATGAAGTGGCTAAAATGTCAGCAGCAATGAAGAGATCTGAGTGTCTGAAAAACATTGGATGAGGTTATAACTTCTTAGATAGGGTCAGTTTTTACTGATGTAATTTATCTATCTTTTCAGAATCAATTCATTTCCCATTGACAAATTTGACTAAAATCATTGGTACATAATTATATATATATATATATATATATATATATATCCAAAAAGTTTAAAAAATCCTTTTAAATTAACAGCATAGTTCTGATTTTGTAAGAATTTTTTGAGTTGAGACAATATTTGCAGTAATCAATATGCCAGGAAACTATATTTGTTAAACATGATATAATGTGATATTAAAACAATATACATATTATAAAATCTTGCCAATGAAAAAACAAGACAAACTTATTTTAATAAAACTGAAAAAAAAATAGATATTTAAAAATAATCATGTATTAAAAAATATAAGTTTATTTAAAGAATTTTGCATTATATAACCATTATATAACTGGTGTCCCGTTTATTAACATATTTATTATTTTATAATCAAGACATCTATTTTCCTAAGTGAGTCAATACAATTTATTTTACTTCTTTCTCTATAACTGTAAATATGAAAATGAAAAAGATAGTCATCTATAAATTACAGAGGTAAATGTCATCTCATCATTAGATCAGTGCCTTGGATTTTAGCTGACTTTCAAGAGTTTAAATATTTCTTGAATACAAACAGTTGATGAGGTTTTACAAAGTGATATTTTTTACTTTTTCTTCTTTTTTGATACTTCTGTGTAAATTTATGCTTGGGAACATATTTACTTTAAGAATAATGAATGTGATTTTACAGTATATTTAAGTAGCAAATGAGTCACTTTAAAGATAATTGGAATAAAAGGTAACATGACTACTTTTTATCTTTTTAAAAGGAAAGACAGAAACAGGCCATAAAGGTGTCCAAATTGCCTGTAATTCAAACATCTTCAAAATATAGTGTATCTTATCCTATATTTGAATATTCAAACATTATATAAAAAGTGTTGGTGAGAAATATATATACACAGCTAGGCAAAATCTTAAGGCCAAAGAAAAAATATAGCATTTGCATTAACTTACTTGAGTAGAGCTAGAAAAATGAAAATAAGAAAAGGAAAAATGAAAATTAAAAACTCTTTTAGAATTTAATAGGAAAATTTTGAACACTGAGAAATTAGGCTGAATACTAACTGGCCAAAAGTTTAAGACTATATTTAATCTAAGCTCTAATTGGTAAACACATAATGAAATTTAGTCATTTGTATTCAAGCATTAGTGCAGTCAACATCACTCACTGGTATCTCCTGCATTACATTAAGTAAGAACATAGCAATGGCTAAAAATTTGACAGAGTTTGAACATGGCAGAATTGTTGAGCTGCAAGGTCTCTCACAACATGCTGGTGAGATTAGATATAGTAAAATGGTTGTTGCAAATTTCTTAGAAGATCCTGAAAGATACATAATAATAATTTCAAGAAAATTTCATCAATGTTGAGCAGGAGGATTGGGCGAAACCAGATTAAAATCCTTGCAGATGAAGAATTCAGCTCAGGAACAATAAGACGGCATCTCTGAGAAAAAGGCATTAAAAACAATTTGCAAAGTCCATGCCTCCTTCCACATGACAAAACAGCTTGATGAAACTTTGCCAAACATGGGATATTGAAAAATGGGAGATGGTTTTGTTCTCTGATGAGAAATAATTGAACCTGGATGGTCCAGATGACTTTCAATGTTACTGGCATGATAAGGATATTCCACTGGAGATATTTTCTACATGACACATTGGAGGAGGTTTCATCATGATTTGGAGTGCTATCTCCTTCCAAGGAACAATGGAGCTTCAGGTTATACAGGGGCCTCAAATGGTGGCTGATTACATTCGCATGTTGGAGTGAGCATCCTTATTGACAAGGCCCTCACTTGTGTAGAAATGACTGGATCTTTCAGCAGAACAATGCTGCAATCCATAACGCCTGCAGGACAAAGGGCTTTTTCATGGTTCTTTTGAACCATTCAGTGATTTTGACCAACCTGAACCCCAATGAAAATATTTGTGGGTGGATAGCAAGAAAAGTATGTAGAATTGGATGACAATTCCAAACAGTGCATGATCTTTGTGAAGTCATCTTCACTGCTTGGAATAGCATTCCAGCCAGTTTTCTGCAGATGCTTATACTGACCCTGCCAAAGCAAATTTCTGAAATTATTCACAATGATGATCATGCAATTGACTACTGAGATGTCTTGTTAGGCATTTATTGCACTGTTTAGGACTTTTTAGGTATGGCCATAAACTTTTGACCAATCGCTATTTAACCTAATTTCCCAGAATTTAAATTCACTCAGTAAAAAAGTTTTGAATTTTTCCATTTTTTTATTTTCATCTTTTGAAGCTCTACTCAACATTTTTATTTTTACTTTAATTATATATATATATATATATGGCCTGATGATTGCTTCTAGCATGAAACAGACTGTCCCCTCTAAGTGTTGACTTCTATGTTCACTTTTATATTTACACACGGTCTATCTCTGATATTGAACACTTTATCCCATAAATATAGCACATCTTAAGACTATATTTCTACACATATATATAAGAATTTTTTAATCTAGCCAAATTCATCTATATTCTTTCTATTATCTTTGTTATTAAATATCCTATCTTGTGAATCTGCAAAGAATAGTGAAACATTGTAACAACCTTGACTTAAATTTCCTGTGGATGAACTAGCAATTAAAGCACTTTCTAGGCATTTTCATTTTTGTGAGTTATTTTCTCTTTTAATTAGAGTACCTTTTTTTATATAAAAATTGTGGCCAGTGAACAACCAATGCATTTTGTATGCTGTTTTTTAAAATGTCTCTTGTGTTCATATAATCTTTTATTTAAACTTCTTGAGTTTTCTCCAATGTATTCATTCTGGCAATTCCTGCATTTGATAGAGTAAATTCCTCCTTTAAGTTGTAGCTTTTTGTTTCATTTTGTATTGATTAAGTCTTGTTTTAGATACATTTGTAACAAATTTTATGTTGGGTTTAGACAAATTCTTTTTGATTGTAGTAGTGTTAGAGTTAATGGATAGAACAATATATTTTTTTGATTCGTTGGGTTTGTCAGGAGGGGCCACTTTTCTATTTTGGAATATTTTATGAGCCTTTTGTTTTGCATTGAATATGAAATGGGTTATGG